ATAGAAGAACTCGCTAGAGATTTTTCTCTATTGAAATAGCATTTGAGAACCCAGGAATACCTCTCTGCCATTCTGAGACTCTAATGCAAGACTCTGTGAATACACACATATGCACATATAAATATACACATGCCCTATTGCTAATATTTTCTTGAGTTAGAGCCATCAAATATAAAACAGCTAAGATGTTTGCTTTTAATTTCCAAAGAAAGTGATTTCTTCCAATTTTACTCAAAACAAACCCTCTAGGTAGAATTCTCCTTAAAATTAATTGAAAATGAATATCAATCAGCTGGCATCATCAAAGTAACTAAGAGTTCATCAACAAAAAGCATTTTGTAAGGATATAATTATACAATGAGACATAACCTACAAGCTGTTCTAAGCAGTTGCACAGATCATAAAATCTCTGAATCGGAAAGGATTTCTGTGGCCTCTAAGACTACCCTATAACTGGACAAGAATCCTCTTGACGAGGTTCCTAGTGAGGGACCATCCAAACTCTGCTTGAGGTACAAATCCACTGCCACCCAATGGAGTCTATTTTACTTTCGAAAAGTTCTAACTGATAGGATGTTTTCCCTTACATGAAATCTAGATCCTACATGAGAGATGCCCTTTAGGCTGTGATACAGAATCTGAGGTCAGGAAATTGGCTGGTGCAGGATAGATCAGTCTGTGAACTTAAGATGGCACTAGGTTTCTTGGTTGTCATGTCATACTTTTGACTTACAACAAGGTTCCAATTCACTAATTTCTCCAAATCCTTTTCAGATAAACTGCTTTCTAAACTGCTCCTCAGCAACTTGTACATGTGAAGTTCATTTTTTTATTCCATGTCAGACTTAGCATTTATCCCCATTTGACTTCATTTTATTAGATTTGGCACAATATTCTAGACTTCTGAGAATAATGAATGGATTTAGGGTTGTTTTTTGTCTGTTTCTTTTTTTAAAATTTATTTATTTTTAGTTTTCAACAGTCACTTCCATAAGTGTTTGAGTTTTAAATTTTCTCCACCTCCCTCCCCAAAATGGTATGCAATTTGATATAGGCTATACATATACATTCCTATTAAACCTATTTTCCCATCAGTCATGTTGTAAAGAAGAATTAGAAACAATAGGAAGAACCATAAGAAAGAGTAAACAAAATAAAACAGAAGAAAAAAAAGAGCAAATAGTATGCTTCGATCTGCATTCAAACTCCATAGTTCTTTCTCTGGACGTGGATAGCATTTTACATCAAGAGACTTTTCGGAGATGTCTTAGATCTTTGCATTGCTGAGAAGAGCAAAGTCTATCAAAGTTAGCCATCGCACAACGTGGCTATTACTGTGTACCATGGTCTCCTGGTTCTGCTCACTTCACTCAGCATCAGTCTAAACAAGTCTTTCCAGGTTTTTCTGAAGTCTGCCTGCTCATCATTTCTTATAGCACAATAGTATTCCATTACATTCATATACCACAACTTGTTCAGCCATTCCCCAATTGACAGGCAGCCCCTCAATTTCCCATCCTCTGCCACCACAGAAAGAAGTGCTATATATATATTTTTTGTACATGTGGGTCCTTTTCCCATTTTTATGATCTCTTTGAGATACAGCCCTAGAAGTGCTGTTGCTGGGTAAAAGGGTATGCACATTTATAGAGCCCTTTGGTCATAGTTCCAAATTGCTCTCCAAAATGGTTAAATCAATTCACAACTCCACCATGCTTTTAAAATGTTTGTTACTTTTTAATTTAATTTGTTTTTATTTTGCAACATGGCTAATGTTGAAATATATTTTGCATGATTTCACATGTATATTTGATATCATACTGCTTATCTTATACATTGGTGGGGGCAGGAAGGAAGAGAGAGAATTTGGAACTCAAATTTTTTTTTTAAATTAATGTTAAAAATAAATATAGAGGGGTAGTTAGGTAGCATAGTGGATAGATCACTGGCCCTGAAGTCAGGAGGACCTGAGTTCAAATCCAGCCTCAGACCAAACACTTGACACTTACTAGCTGTGTGACCTGGGCAAGTCACTTAACCCCAGTTGCCAAAGAAAGAAAGAAAGAAAGAAAGAAAGAAAGAAAGAAAGAAAGAAAGAAAGAAAGAAAGAAAGAAAGAAAGAAAGGAAGGGAGGAAGGGAGGAAGGGAGGAAGGGAAAAAGAAAGAAAACAGTATAGAAAAAAGACTGAGTGATACATTGTTTTTAAAACTATTTCTAAGAAGAAAAAAAAACTCTTGTGGTCTATAAGAAAATAGTCAATCATTGCTCCAATTTCAATTACCACAAGCATTTATTAAATACTCCCTATGTGTACATGATATGTATTAAGAAAGTCATGAAGTTTAGGTAGGATATGGATCCCCACTCTCAGGAGCTTTAAATACTAGTAGGGGGACACCACATACACACAAATAATTAGAAAATAATACAATACATAATAAATGCATCAGTGAAAAGCAAAGTGCTACCTGCAATCCCAGGCAGGGAAGGTCATTTTGGATTGGATTTTGAACTGGAAGGAATCTCAGAGATCATCTAGTCTAATATCATTTTATAAGTGAGGAAAGAGGCAAAGAGAGTGGATTTGAAAAATCTCCATAATGATGTCAAGTGATACATCTGATTTATGGTTTGGAAAACATGTAAGTATTTGATAGACTAATCTAAGAAAGGAGGACACTTCAGGTAAAGAGGACAAATAAAGAAAGATACAGAAACAGGAGAGCTAGGAGAGTGTTCAGGAGACAAACAGTACTTCAGTTCACACATAGGAGAATGCTATGAGGTAAGGCTGGAAAAAATACGGTGGTGATCTTGTAGCATGCTTTGAATGTCAATATTAAGTTTATACCATAGGTAATAAGGAGCTGCTAATGATTTGTGAGGAAAGGAATGACCTAAACAGATTTACTATGCATAAAGAAGGTTAGTAAGGTAGCAGTTTGCAGATGGAATATAAGGGAAGGGAGGGGAAGAATGGCAATACACATTAGAAATCTATAGTAATAATTTGGTTGGGTGATAAGTGATGAAGACTTGTACCTAAAGGAGGTGAACAATAAAAACAGAGAGGAACACTGAGATATTACACAAGTAGAACTTAGTAAATGATTGAGTATTATGATAGTAACAAGAATAACATAAAGTTACATAACACTTCTTAGATTTGCAAACTGCTTTCCTTATAACAATCCCATGTGTAGATAGTACATATATTATCTCCATTATAACAGTTGGAGAAACTGAGTCTTGGAAAGATCAAGTAACTTGGATGATATGTTTAAATTTGTGGGTTGTCTAGTCCAACTCCATTATTTTAAAGATGAGGGAAATGATGTCCAAAGATATTAAGACACTTGCCCATGGCCAAAAAGTTATTATTAGTCAGGGCCTGGAATTGATTCAGGTCTCCAGATTCCATATGCAGGGCTCTTTCTAAGACACTACGGTGAATTTAAGGAGAGAGAAGAATCCAAGAAAATATCAAGGTTTCTGTCTTGGAAATGCTAATGCATGGCAGTGTTGCTGGTAGAAATAGGGAAGTGAGGAGGATGAGGTTTAGGAGGAAAGGTAACTTAGGCTTCAAAGGTGTCAAGGGGACATTTAGGCAGAGGCATCTCAAGGGAAGTTACTACAGATTACAATTGGAGAATAAAAGTTCAAAGATTTTATAGAGGAGAAAGATAGGAATATATGAGATTGTCAAGAAAGTATGGGGGGAAAGAACTGTCATTTTGAAGTTTAAAGATGTATAGAGGAGAAAGTTCTAGGAATGTATGAGATCATCAAGAAAATGAAGGGAAAGAAGTATCATTTTTGTTATATTGGCCCTGCCTACCCATGAACAATGAATATTTCTGCAATTATTTAAAACAGATTTTATTTGTATAAAAAGTTTTTTTTTATAATTTTGTTTACATGGTTCCTGAGTTTGTGGGTTATCTAGTCCAACTCCTTTATTTTACAAAAAGAAAAGAATCAAGGATAGAATCTTTACTAATGCTTGTCTTAAGGCAAGGATTCCAGTATCTTTTTCTTGCACTTAAAAATTTTTAATTAAAAAATAAAAAAAAAGTTCAATGTAATCTTTTGTGTTTAATTTGCTTTTTAAAACATTCTGATAAAGCATCCATAGGCTTCACCAGGCTGCTGTCACCTGACACAAAATGTTCCTCTCTTAACAGGTGAGAAGAGGATGAACAACTAGCAAAATCAACAGAGAATGGCCAGTAATATAGGTAGGACAAGGGCCAGCCAAAGAGTGGTATTTGGGAAATCAAAAGTACAAAGAATACGGGAGTAGGAAGGAGTGCTCAACAGAATCAAATGCTACAAAGAGGTCAAAGAGTAGACCTGGGAACATGGCCAATGTGTTTGATAACTAGAAGGTCATGACATCTGAGACAGCAATTTCTGAACAGTGATGGAAGACTGAAGACAGATTACAGGATGGTCATGAAGAAGTGGAGACATCAGTTGCAGACAACTTTTTCTGAAATTTGGCAGTGAGGGAGAAGAGAGAGATACGACAAAAGGTGATAGGGTAGAAAGATCCAGGGAAATATTCTTTAAGAATGGGGACACGTTTCTAAGTGTCAGGAAGTAGCCAGTGGGAAATGATCTGGAGCAGATAGGAGAAGACAGGGGTCAAGCACAGGGTGAGAGATGACAGTAAGGAGTATGGATGCTTCTTCCTTTGAGAAAAGAGGGAGAGAGGAGAGAGTGGGTAAGGCTACTAAGAAATTTTGAGGAGAATAAAATAGGAAGTATCGTTTGGCCTTAATCTTCTGGGTGAAGCAGTAAATTGTTGTCTGCTGTGAGTGTGGGGTTTTGGGGTCTGGGGGGCCTGAAGAGACAAGGAAAAGGTATAGTTTTCCTGAGCACAGAATGATATACCTGTACAATACCCTCAGAACTGTTCAAAGTCCATTTCTCAAATTGAGTAGCTTAAATCACTTACGAGCGCACACACTTCAGGGTCAGCATCATCCTTACCTACCTTAAAAGCAGCACCTCCATGGATTATAGACTTGATAAAAATCCCCAAATCAGCTCCTGTCTCTCGGGATTTGTTCCCTTTTAAGCTCACTCCAAGCCCAGCAGACCCTGAATCATTGAGAGGGATCTCGAAGGTCAGCTGCTCAGGAGTCTCCAGGGACAGCACATAGCAGCGGTCAGGCTCTCCCTTCTGTTAGGAAAAATGTAGATGAAAACAGTGAAGGACAGAAAGTAGATTAAATGTCTCATATGCAAGGATTGTCAAACACAATCTAATTGGCAAAGCCAGGATGATTGGGCCTAATACTGTTTTGCACTATTGTTCCCAGAAGGTAAGGACTGCTTCTTTTCTTTCTGGAAAGTGATGAATGTACTAAGAAGAGTGTGCTTATGGGCTCTCAATAAGGAGTGTGTAATGGTGGCCAACAACAACCCTTTGGCTAAGACAGAGGTCTAATATCTGTAACAACTCAGAGGCATTAGAAAATTCTGCAGAGTATACTGAATAATTAAAGGAATGGAAAATGAGACTAAGAGAATCTTCAGAGCTGGAAGGGACTTTGGAGACCAGCTAATCCTGCTCCTCATTTTACAGATGAGGACACTGAGACCCAGAGAGGCTAATGTGTTAAAACTTCAGGAAAGTATCTGGCTTATATGAATTTAAAGTATATCCTCATATTACTGAGCTCTGGTAAACAACCTCCCCTTCTGCAAGGTCTTCCTTAATGCTAGTCCTTTCCCTCTGAGATTATCTCCAATTTATCCAGTATATATCCTGCTTACACATAATTATTTGTATGTTGTCTTCCTTAAGAAACTTTCTTAGAAACTCCTTGAGGGCAGGGGATGTTTTTACTTTTCTTAATATCACTACCACTTAGCACAGTACTTGACACATATTAGGCTCTTAATAAATGCTAAATGACTTGACCTACTGTGGTGTTGTTAACTTGATTAGTCACGTCTAACTCTTTTTGACCTAATTTGGAGTTTTCTTGGCAAAGATACTGGAGTGGTTTGCCATTTCCTTCTCCAGCTCATTTTACAGATGAGGAAACTGAGGCAAACAGGGGTAAGTGATTTGCCCAGGGTCACACAGATAGTAAATGTCTAAGGTCAGATTTCAACTCAGGTCCTTCTGATTCTAAGACTGGCACTTTATCCATTGTACCACCTACCTTGACCTAGGGTGCTGAATATAATTGAGATTCTTCTCTAAATAGAGGGAATTTTTAAAATAAAAGACATATATGTACAATACACATATAAATGTGCATATACATATGTGTATGTACATATGTCACGGATACACATGTACACATATACATATATACGGGGCAGCTAGGTGGCACAGTCCATTGAGTACTGAGCTTGGAATCAGGAAGACCTTTGTTCAAATCTAGCCTCAGACGCTTACTAGCTGTGTAACAATGGGCAAGTTACTCAACCTCTGTTTGCCTCAGTTGCCTTATCTGTAAAATGGGCCAGGGAAGGAAATGGCAAACTACTTCAGTATCTTTGCCAAGAAAACTCCAAATGGGGTCACAAAGTTGGCCTCAACTGAAAACAACTGAACAAACCACAAATGTACACACACATATATACATATGGGCATATACATATATATACATACATATATATATACTTGTGTGCATATCTATATTGATACATATTTCTTGCTCAGTTCATAAATGCAGCCACTGTTCTCAATATTCCCATGATATGATATGGGATGGGGGGGATTTATTTAGAGTGGAGGTCCTCATGGAAAAAGAAATAGTTACCCAGAACAGTGTTCTTGAGAGATAATGAGGTCAGCAGTACCATGATATAGGAGCTAGAAATGGCTTTGTCTATGCCTGCATTAAAACATCAAACACGGTTTCTTAAATTTTTTTTGTATCGCAGACACAAAACATGAAACTTATGGACCTCTAATCAGAATAATGTTTTTAAATGCATAAAATAAAACAAAGAATTTCAAAGGAAATGAATTATACTGAAATATAGTTATTAAAACCAAACAAATAAGTTCATTGAAACTGGGTCAAGACCCCCTGATGTAAAGGCTATATCCAAGGGCTTTCTTTTATTCAGTTGATATCTGATGACTCCTGTGTTGGTGGAGAGGTAAGAGGGGTTGAGAGACAACTAGTATCAGATAATTATAACTGAGTTGAAAGAGATATTAGAAACCATCTTGTCTAACTTTAACCTTACATGATTAGAGAACAGAGCCCCAGGGAGGTTGTCACTTACCCAAGGTCACACAGGTAGTTAGGACTAGATTCAGGCTAGAGTACAGGTCTGTGGTTTTAGGGCTCTTTCTACTATCCTACAACCAATACCCTTGGATTGCCTCTTCAGGCTCCCCTTTCTGAAGTATGACTACCCCTAACCATGCTTGCCTTATTTAGGAAGCACCCTATCTCTGGTCCATTTTCTAATCTGTTCTCCTTACCTCAAACCAGGTCCTGATTTATATTCAGGCTGTCAACCTTGGAAAGGAGTTAACAAACTAATTAATTCTAAGGTGTAAATGACCAGTGGTGGCTAAATGTGTTCACTTTCCCATGGATATCAACATTTAACAGACCCTATTTCTTATGGACAATGCCCAGGAAAGTAAAGAATTAGTAACAGAATTTCTCATACTAGGGAGAAGCCAGTAAAGGCAGATTTGGGGGGGGGGTTCAGTTAGATGGTGATAGAAAAAGGAGGAGCAATTCCTGAAGGTTCACAACAGATGGACATTTATATGAATGACACATTTCCAGTCCAACCCAAAGGTTCTCATTCCTGGTCCATCATATTGAGAAGGGAATCCTAGTCCCTCATAAACTTCCATGAACTTTCTCACAATGTTCTTTCATCCCCACTTTTCATTTTTGCAAATCTAGAATCATACCAACAACTAGTCTAAAAATATGAAAATGAGATACCACTAACTCCAACCAGTGTTGATTTTAGACAGAGTGGTTTCTCTTTCCAACTGTGCCTTGCTCTGATTGCCTTTGGTAATTTTTTTGGATTAAAATTACACATTTCTTAAAACTTCTGAGGCTGCCTGAACTTCAGTCCCAGAAATAACAACTACAAAAACTTAAGAACCAAAGACCTCTCAGTACAGCAGGCCTTAGTGGATGTCATCAGAGTCAGACTGTAACTATCTAATTATAATCCTTCCCACTAGTGGAGAAAAGGAGATCTAAGTACATAAAGTTTTAAAGATGCAGCTTCTTTATTATAATTCACTCTAAGTCAGGAGCTCCTACGATGGGGTCTATGAACTGGGTTTTTTTTAATGTTTTGATGTAACTATTTCAATACAGTACATTTCCTCTGTAATCTGGTATATTTTATGTTATACAATTAAAAACATGATTCTGAGTTGGGGTCCACAGGCCTCTCCAGATTGCTTCCAAAAGAGTCTAAGTGAAATCTTAACTAAATGAAAATATAAAGTTTCACTTAAATTAAATTTCACTGGTTAAGTGAATAAAATGATTGCATATTTCCTTATCTAGCTCATGGAGTTACCATCTAAGAACCTAGGTCTTGTGGCTTTGTTATGGAAATGCCCAAGTTAAATACCAAATTTACAATGTTAGCCTTCATCTATGCCTTCCAATGTACCCAAACTGGATTCTATACCATTTCAAAAGAATTTATTTTTCAGGGAGCTCTAGGATTCAATTAATATTAGTCTAATAAGATTACAGCAAATTAAAAGATAAATTACAGAATATACGGTTGTACTGAAAGTGAGGATTCAACACATTAAAAAAAAAATCCATACTACAAACCTTTTAAAGTGGCTATTCTCAAAGTGGCCCCTTATCTGAGGGGCAAATTGCCATAAGAACTGTCCCTTCTTGAAAAATGTATTCAGTCCATTTCACCCTATAATCAAATCAGGCTTCTTTCAGAAATGGAGTCTATTCCTAAGCAAGTCTGATAACTGCTATTGCCCCTAATTCCCCTTATTCAGTGCACAGTCACAGGTCACTGAGGAAGGGTAGAACAGCATGAGATCAAGGTGGCACTGTATTTACTTCTTCATCTATATACTTTGCCCTTCGTATCTTGAATCCCTGCTATCTGAAAGCAAAGAGTGTGGGACTGTTGACTATTGAAGATCTTTACCTGGTAATAAGAAGAATGGAATAAGCCAAGGCACTTTCCTCTACAAGCGATGCATATCACATTACGTCACTTAATTCTAAGGGGCTGATTCCCAGTAACTTTTCAGTTTTCCTAAAGTGCACCAGATACAGAGGGAAATTGGTGCCCACTCTTCAGAAAAAGCTAGGAGCAACAGGACATTTCCTTAAGGTGAAGCCAATCCCTATCTTGAGTCTTCTTGTACCACCTTCTTCTCTCAGCACGTGTGTGAAAGATCAACATGATCGTTTTCATAAGTGTTCTAACAAAATGGACACTGATTTTATAACTGAACCTTGGAGTCAGGAAGACCTGGGTTCAAATCCCACCTTTGACACTGGGTGAGTCATTCAACCTTTCAGTGCCACAGGCAACTGTCTAAGATTACAAATCTTTAAAGATGCCCATCTGTTCTAGCAGAGGAAGCTTCTTTTCAGGAGCTCTCTATGCTCATTTATTTGTACATATACTTTCCACCTAAAATTACCCAGAGGGACAAATAAAGGGAGCTATAAAGCAAGTGTGACAAGGGACATATCTTCAATTCTGTTGCTATTTTTTTCCTTTAGGTTATGCATTTTAAAAATCTCTGAGGATGGAGACCAATTTTTCTCAATACTTGAAAATCCCTAAAGCATTTAGTACTTTGAACTTGGAGCCATGCAACCTGTGATGATATGACTCAGAAGGAGCAAACAAGGTAAAAATATAATCTCACTAAATTTCAAATCCTTCGAAATGAAGAGTTAGCTTATCTGAAACTTGGAAAGTCCTATGTTATTGATAGAACTAAGTTAGATGCTCTTAAATTCTTTTTTCCTCAATCATAACATCTTTTGCTTCCCTGGGAATGGTGGAAACATGGACTCTGAAGTACAAAGGAAAGAATTCCATTTTTCTTGCCTTTCTCTAGCATTTGCCAAAGAGAGATAGTCTTAAAAGTCTTGCATGAAGACAAGTCTTGCCAGTGCAAGGCATTGGAAAGAGGGGGCACTGATGTTTCTGCCACTAAGGGGAGGGGGA